AAAGTGATTTCCATAAAGCCTCTTGATGACATAAAGTGTCACTTAATCATCTGTTGTGCTTTCCATAATCCCCTTGATGACATAAAGTGATTTCTTGCACTTATCCAACAAACTCAAAGTTAAATCTTCCTGCAAACACATAGGAATATTGTAAATTCTACCTACAAAAAATTATTCTATTATATAGCTATATATCAATTATCTGACAGTATCATCTTTGGCAATTTCAGAAATAAAAATCTGTAATAAAAAGACTCAATATATACAAGAAACATCATGAAGTATCCATCAATTTTGCATATACAACATCCATGAATTTTTAAACTCATTTTTAAGGGAAGACCAAACTGACCATATCTTCAAAAGATTCCTCCTTAGGCGGGACCATTTTTTATATTTAATTAATAACAATAGAGCATAAGATCAAGCAGCATACCTTTATAGATTTATATCTTTGCATGTGCGCTTATTGTGTCCTCGTTTTTTACAAATTCCACATATATTAGTATGTTTTGATGCTTCTTCAATCCCGCTACGAATCCTGCGTCCCTGTGAAGTATATTGAGAGTCCTTTTTTCGCCCTTTTGTTTGAGAAATGTAGGGATCCTTCAAGTTCCTCATAGAAGACTCTTCTGAATGATGACCCAAGTATTGTAAGTCAGAATCGCTAAGACTAGTAGTCTCCTCAGAAGTCACAAACTTTTCTGCAGCTAGAGAGAGAGAATCAATACCATCACAAATGAATCTAAAAGCTTCGCTCGATGCATATGCAAGCTCATCAAGTCTGGAATATCTAGAGCGTAGGTGAAAGCTACGAAGAAGTCTATCTCCATCAGTTGTATAACTGTTGCTGTCTATACTTAGTATGTCATTTCCTTCCTTGCGCCAACGGCGCAAGATGAAGTGTTCAGGGATCTGCTCGATATTTTCTATCAAAAAAATAGCAAGAACATGTCGACATAAGATTCCCATGAACTCAAAATAAAGGCAAGAACACCTAGCCTCTTTTTTTTCCAATTTTATATCAACTGTTGCATAATCTTTGTTGTCCTTCTTATTAAAAACATGGTAGGTAACCCACTCAATGTCATTTCCAAGTTTCTCCTTAGATAATCGTAAACTAAGAGAAAGCTCTTCACCGAACTTTAAAAAAATTGCACGGGTATACACTTTAGCTGCATGCTCCTCTAATGGCATATTAAATGTCAAAAGCCTTTCTTTGTGCTTAGATTCAAAGTCTTCTTTTTTGGATGACTCGTACCGAGTATCTACTGCTAGGTTATATTTCTCCACAAATTCCTTCAATGTTGTGCCAGATGTAACAAAACCATCAAAGAATGAATTTATACTCTCACTGCGCTGAGTAGTGTTCATGCCAGCAAAAAAAATGGATCTGTTGAAGATTGGTACCCATGACGATCTAATTGAGTAGAGTCCATGCAACCATTCATTTCCATGAAGACTATACTGAATAAGAAGATGTTGCCATCTTTCTTTAAACTCTTCAGCACTCTTGGAGCTCCATATACACTCGTTCAAATTCTTCTTAAATGATGCATGCTCATGGTAAACATGGGATAGCTTCTCAGGAAATTTTTTCATGATGTGCCACAAACAAAATCGATGCTTGGTGTTTGGGAAAACTTTGGCAACTGCATTGCTAATTGCCATGTCCTGGAAATTCAGAGGTATTAGTAGGTATGCAAGTAGTAATAAACCATCACATTTAAGATGATATATAAAATATTGATATAAAGTTCATCAAATTGATCATACCTGATCAGTAATTATGGCAACTGGATGTTTCCCATTCATTGCTCGTAGCCATTCCTCGAATAGCCATATAAAAGTATCCTCAGTTTCATCTTGTAATAAAGCACATCCGAGCAAGAGCGATTGCATATGATTATTTACACCAACAAAGGGTCCAAATGGCATGTAATACTTATTAGTCCTGTATGTCGTGTCAAACGTTATCACATCACCAAAAAGCTTATAGGCATGTCTGGATCTTGCATCAATCCAAAAAAAGCTTACCATTCGATCATCATCATCACACTTGATGGAATAAAAAAAATCCAGATTTAATGCTTGTTGTTTAATACAATAATGTAGCACAGCTTGTGCATCCCCAGCATCATATATCTTTCTTCTCACATTTTTCATATGATTATAACAATCTCGACTGTCAAACCCCAGATCATGGCTTTTGAATATGGTGGCTACCTTTCCAGTTGGCAAACTCGAGTTGTTGAATTTTTCTACCAAACATTTTGCAGCATCAGGCATTTTTCTGTGTGTTCTCAGATATGTAACACTTTTCGGAGTAACCATCTCATGATTATGGTTGTCGATGAAATGTGTAATTCTCCACATATTTGTTTTTTTATTCCTAGAAGCCTTGACACAAGCTTCACATCCTATACGTGACGATGATGTTCTCCTTGACTTGGCCTCACACAATTTACCCACATTTTCTTCCTTTTTAGTTTGTGGATGACCTTCTCTAATGCATGTTAGCTTCACGTAGTCCTCCCTGGATGTTCGTCTCCGGATCCCGAATCCTCTTATCCTACCAAATGCTGTATATAAGTTTACTATATCCTTCCATTCGGGAAATTCCATTCCCACCTCAATGGAAACTTTAGCATTCTTTGTCGGTGATAATGGAATGGCAATTGACATATTGTTAGGCAAGTCATTTGATATGTCATCTTCCATTTCATCAGGTATTTCATTTCCTACTCCGACGTATTCCATTTCATTTGACACGCAATCATGACTGAAGTCAATATAATTAATTGGATCATCTTCCATATTGACCTTCATTGAAATAAACAAGTGACAATTATATAGTCAAATTCTATGAGATATAACTAAAAAACACAGTACAAATGGAATATTGCTTTCATATCATTTGGTACAATGGGTTAACTAGAGGGCTACGTTAACTAATTTACTTACTAATTTCAAAAGCAAGTATCATTTTAACTAGAAGGGTCTCCCTTTCTCATTCAATCCTCATCGAACACTTTCAATTTCAAAGTGTTGAAATAATTAATGCTCGGTTCTCGTGCATATGCAATTTTTCCTGCAACTCCAATCTTGAAGAACAAAAGTCGATAATAATTAATTCAATAGTGATTTTAACCTTGTGGTGTAATACTTGTCTATTACACCTTTAACATTTGGGCTCGTATTCCCTGAATTTACATTGGAATAAGACAAATTATGATACTTACTGTAGCCAAAAGTATTTTAAGTTCAAAGTATTTTTTTAAGTTTCTTATAGTTCATGAATCAGTGACTCTTTGACAATTCAATTTGATATTGCCACACCAACACCAATTTACTATTTATCTTAGAATAATGTTCGAAGTTCTTAGAAGAAGCTAAAATATTTACCAGGGGCATGATGCTTGCCGGCATGCATTCCGGTGAAAAAGAGTTTTCCGCCTGAGTTTGTTGCTCCTCGCTGTCGTTCATGGAGAGCGATGAATGGTGACAAAAGAAATTTAAAAAAAACAAAAGAAAGAAAAGCAACGATGAATAGAGGAATTTGGAGAGAGCAGGGAGTGTCTGTGCAGTTCCCAGACGTATAGAGAGAGAAAGGAGGTGAGTGATTGAGGGAAAAATTAGGATTATAAGGGATAAATATGAGCCATTAGATTAAAAGTTAATCTAATGGTTATAATTCAGTAGTAAAGGTAGTAAGATTAACAGGTAGTAAATATAACCCCTCCCTTTAATTTTTAGAATAAAAAATTTTGTTTAAAAATGATTGTTTTGTAAAATAATTCTCAAAACAGTAACTGTTTTTAAAAAAATTTAACTAAAAAAAGGAGAACAAGTTAGAGATGTTCTGGAAAATTGATTTTTGATTTTATTGTTTTTGTAGTGATAATTTTATAATTATGAGGATTCATTAAAATAATACTTTCATAATTAATCCAACTTCTTTTTAATTTCAAATCATTTTATGATGGCAATTTTTTAATTATAAAAGTTCATTAATGACATTCTTATAAATAAATACAATTTCTTTATAATTTTAAATCCAATCATATTTAAATAAGTTTTATTGTTCTTTTACTCTTAAAATCAAAATATCTTTTTAAAAAAATTAAATTAAATTCAAACAAACGTTTTATATTACCTGAGTCAATACATAGGTTTCCATCTTTTAATTATTACATAACACCCACCTAATAATGATGTGTAAAGCATATTAAAAACAAAAAGAAAAACAACAAATAATCCAAAGACAGAAAGTTCACTAATTCGAGATATCCTTGTTCGGTTGTTCCCACCGAGAAACGTTGCCATCCATTCTTTCCTTCAAATAATAATAGACAGACAAAAATTCAACACGTCACTTTTGTCCTTATCAACCTGATAAACCCAAAGACTTGTTAAAACAACGAAAATTAAGCACAATGTCATTCAACTAAAAAAGGAAAGAAAAAACGAAAAAAAAAACAACTTTGATTTGTGGGTACAGTGACCAAAATGACATACTTTGATAAAAAAAATTACCAAAATGTCACACGAACGGTAAAATTTTTTAAATTGACACGCGGCATAATTCGCTACACAGTGTAGCGAATTATGCATGCAAGTAATTCGTTACACAGTGTAGCGAAATATTCCACGTCAGAATGTACAGAACCAAAAAGTGCCATGTGTCAAAATTGTTGAAATTCGCTACATAGGGTAGCGAATTTCAACAATTTTGACACATGGCACTTTTTGGTTCTGACGTGGCATATTTCGCTACACTGTGTAGCGAATTACTTGCATATATAATTTACTACAATATGTAACAAATTATGCCGCGTGTCAGTTTAAAAAATTTCACTGCTCCCGTGACATTCTGATATTTTTTTTTTTTTGCCAAAGGTAGCAAAATGCTAACTGTCCCTGATTTGTGTGACTCCTCGTGTCTCATTTACAGAACAAAACATTAAAGAGAGAGAGAGAGAGAAAGTGGCACTAGCACCATACATTGAAAGCTTTGTTTTTTTTCTCTCTCTTGTAACGTTGCAATGCAGAGATCTGGGTATGGTTCTGATGGAATATACAGGTCTCCGAGACCTTCTCTCGTGTTACCTAAGGACCCTAACCTCTCTTTCGTTTCAAACCTTTTCACAAACGTTTCTTCCTTTCCCACCAAACCCGCTCTCATCGATGCTGATTCCTCCGAAACTCTAAACTTCGCAGAGTTAAAGTCCTTGGTCGTGAAAATCTCACACGGTCTTCTCCGCCTTGGCATAAACAAAAACGACGTCGTTCTCTTCCTCGCACCAAACAGCATCCACTACCCTGTTTGCTTCCTCGCCGTCGTTTCCCTCGGCGCCATCGTCTCCACCGTCAACCCAACCTACACCGCCGCCGAAGTTTCAAAGCAAGTGAAGGATTCCAATCCCAAGCTTGTAATCACCGTCGCTGAATTATGGGAAAAAGTCAAAGACTTCAACCTCCCCAGTGTCTTTCTGGATTCCCTCGCGACATCATCATCATCATCGGATCATCCCGAGGTCACGAGTTTCAAGGCGTTGGTTGAACTCGGTGGGTCCCAGACAGAGTTTCCGACCAACAACGTTAAACAGAGCGACACGGCGGCGCTTTTGTACTCGTCGGGGACGACGGGTATGAGCAAGGGTGTGGTTCTGACGCATGGGAATTTCATTGCTGCTTCTGCCATGATTACGATGGACGATGATTTGGATGGAGAGATGCACAATGTTTTCCTCTGTGTTCTGCCTATGTTTCATGTCTTCGGGCTTGCGGTTATTACCTGCGCTCAGCTTCAGAGAGGGAGTGCTGTGGTGTCTCTGAAGAGGTTCGAGTTCGAAGTTGTTTTGAAGACTATTGAGAAGTATAGAGTTACGCATTTATGGGTTGTGCCTCCCATTATGCTTGCTTTTGCGAAACATAGTTTGGTTGACAAATATGATCTTTCCTCGTTGAAGCAAATTGGTTCTGGTGCTGCACCTCTTGGCAAAGATTTGATGGTTGAGTGTGCCAAACGTTTCCCTCGTGTCAACATTTCTCAGGTAATTGTGCATGTTTGGTTTTGATTAAAAAAAAAAAAAACTTTTTTTTACCCTGTAGGTTCTCTTAATAAGATTTTGATTATAAACTGATTGATTCCACTTTTAAGACGGTGAATTGGAGCAGTGATAAAATTGTTTCTTCGTGATTGAAAGGTTATGGGTTCAAATCTAGAATATAGTCTCTTGCAATTATGCAAAAGTAAGGCCGGGTAGAAGGATTTTCTACGCCCCACACTCGCTAGTCGGATTTAACTTGGAGTGGTTGGTTTTTTTCAATACAAAATAAAGGCAATAACATATGTTTTGTGTGGTATTTCTTGTACTTTGTGGTTTCAGGGCTACGGTATGACTGAAACTTCTGGGGTTGTTTCTAAGGAGCATTCAAGGATAGGGAATCGGCATTCTGGTTCAACAGGAGTGCTTGTTGCAGGAGTGGAAGCTCAAATAGTCAGTGTGGATACACTGAAACCCCTCCCTCCTGGACAGCTGGGGGAGATTTGGGTACGGGGTCCTAATATGATGAAAGGTAGGGTGCAATGTAGCATCTATGTGTAAAATTCCTACCTTAAGTTTGATGTCACAAAATATTGGCTTGTAGGGATAAATTAGAAAGCAGGACATATTACAACTAATACGATAGGCTTAGTGATGGATGACCTTAAACATGTTTGTCCTATATATACACTCGAGTCCATTGCCTGCAGACTACCATCATGTTATAGTGTTCTTGTTATGCTACTTGAAATATAGAAGAAAGGGACCTGCGGTTATTGGGAGATGCATCATAAACTGGCCGATGTCCCTCTCTCTAACCTTTGTATTCAAGAATTCATGAGTATATTTGTTACTTACTTCTCTGCCGATGCAACAACTCCTCCTAGAGTTAATAATTGAGTTGTAGCACCATTCTCCCAAAATTTATTTCCCACTTCATGCATGAAAAACACTTTTTTTGCTGTTATATTTCATCTGATCACTAATTTATGTAAGACATTCTAAACTGTGGTGGACTGGAGAGCATCATTCTCGTATGGTATGGGTCTTGAAGTTTTTATCTGACTTTACAATTGGGATTGTAATTCAGACTCTTATTGTTTCTCTCAATGTTTTTCACTGGGATGTGGATGAGCAACATGCTTTATGCTAGATATTAGGTCATTCATTCTATGGACAATGGCATGTTTTGTGTTAAATTACAAGTTTGACCAGTTTCATGCAATGTTGATAACGGAAACTATCCCCGTTTGACTGGAAAGTTAGGAATTTTATTGGCAAAATCAATTAAGCAAACAGAGAATTGGACAATAGCTCTGCTTATTACTTTGGCTTTTTCCTTCACTTTCCTGGTGAGTAAAGATGCAGGGAGGGATTGAATGGCTAAGCTTAAGCCTTGCTCTTCCATTTTCTTGCCTTCAAAAAAGTGTAATGGATCTGCTGATACATGTGGTTAATATTCAGAAAAAGAATAGTTCATTAATTCAATAAATTTTTTCTCAAGTATTTGGTTCTTGCCAGCGTAGAGCTAAATCAGCTAGTAACATATAGAGCATCAGAAATATCTCAAGTATTTGTAATTTTCTCTTGAACACCACTCGTGGTTTTAGCAGACAATTATATATAAAATAATTCAAAATTTGTTACCAGTAAATCTTCCGTTTGAGGAAGATAAAGCCTAGCTAATACTGATAGGAGATTTCCACTGTGATGTGAAGAAGTGCAGGCCAATGGGTTTAGCATACATGCTGATGTTTCTTACACTGTGCATTCGTTTTAAGTATTTGACTTTGCCTGGAACTTGTTCAAGGTTCCTTTCTTTTCTTTACTTCATATGCAGTTTGGCATCAATTTGTATTCCGTAGGTTCTGTTCCTAGAAGCAATTTTAGTACAAATATTACAAAAATTTTCAGGTTATCACAACAATCAAGACGCCACAAGATTGACCATAGATAAAAAGGGGTGGGTTCATACTGGAGATCTTGGATATTTTGATGAGGACGGACAACTTTTTGTTGTTGATCGTATCAAAGAACTGATCAAGTATAAAGGTTTTCAGGTATGTTATCCAAATTCCATGTCAATGATGAATGTAAATTTTGTCTGGCATTCTATACATACATGATACATGCATGGTCACATATATGAAATCTCAACCAAAATCCCTGTCAGGTTTAGTTCAGTAATAGAAAGATATTTGGTGTTGTGGTGCATTTAACATATGATAAACTCCATATTGTATTGTATCAGAAAGTAGTGTAGTAACTTCAGTGCATATATGTGTATGCTGCTCTCTGTGGTTAATTATTTGCTTATACGATTATGGTTGTAACGACCCGAAATTTATTGAAAAAAATAAAAAAACATGGAGTCACCACCAATTTTATTTTATTTGAAAAAATTGGAAAAACTTTGATTTTGCAAACTGGTCTTTAAAATTTCAAATCAAAGTTCGGGAATCTAATTATGCACAGGGAATGGTGGAATTTGTTTTCTTTTTATTTGTAAAAATAATTTCGGGTCATTACAACGGTTATACTTGACAATGAATATGTATAATCAGGGGTTGTCATCTAACTGAATTATTTTCTAATTGCCCCATCATTCTAACTAGGTTGCACCAGCAGAACTTGAAGGGCTTCTTGTTTCGCACCCGGAAGTACTTGATGCTGTTGTAATCCCGTAAGTTTCACATACATGAATTTGGTTCCATTTAAAGTGAGAGGTGCCCTTTAGAGGATAAAGTACAGAGTTATAACTGATGGTCAGAAAATCAACAATGATAAAATGGATGACATATAAATCAAAACTACAAAGTTGTCAAAATCTACTCTAAACTGCACCCCTCACTTTATAGGAATCAAATCCCACATACATGATCTTTATTTATTTCTACCTACAGAAGAAATATATCTTATGTTATCAGTAATTATAATTCATAGTTGAGTTGCTCCCATTTTGTAGGTATCCGGACGCCGAAGCTGGCGAGGTTCCAGCTGCCTATGTTGTTCGTTCACCCAATAGTTCACTGACTGAGGAAGATGTTCAAAAGTTTATTGCTAATCAGGTAACAGAAAGATAAAGAGAAAGCTTGGTCTCTGACATGCATTCATGAATTGCTTCTCTTTATGCATTGGACACACTTTGTCCTGATAGTATTATTAGTGTAATACTGGATTTGAATCTTGTTTGCATGTTCAACACTTTATTGCTTGAATGCAGCATTTGTTCTGTATACCCGTTTCCATTGCTAGTCAATTGATCACATGTGAACGATTTGATTTATCTTTTGCATTTTTTTTTTCTTTTGTCACTCATTTTTTGTATGTATTTGCAGGTAGCACCTTTCAAAAGATTGCGAAGGGTGACATTCATCAACTCAGTTCCTAAGACAGCTTCAGGAAAAATTCTCCGAAGAGAGCTTATTGACAAAGCAAGATCCAAAATATGAGATCATAAATTTTTTTTTTTAGAACCGTTTTTCAGGGGTCAAATTCTGTGATAGAATGTAAATTCGAAGTGAAATCTCACAGGGTATGATGTATTGGTACTCTTAAATGGTTGCTGTGGATTGGATATGTATCTGTGATTGGTATTTATTGGGTCCACATTGATACGTAGCCAATACTCACTTCATGAGTGAATACTCAATATTAATAAAATATGAGTCAATTCATGTAAAACAATTAGTTTAATTCGTAAGTTGTTTGATTTGTCACTAAATTATCTAATGTTATCTTTATCTTAATTTTTAGAAATTGCCATACTGTATCTAGAGATGTTCATGGGTCGAATCGAACCGATTTTTTTGAAAAATCGAATCGAATTGGATTAAATGGTTCGGTTCGATTCAAAACTGGTTCGGTTTGAAAGTAGTTCGGTTCGGAACTGGTTCGGGTCGACCCTCTTTTGAAAAGAAAAAAAATTAAAATTTTAAAAAATAAAGTTATAAAAAATTAATTTGATTCAGTTTGAAAACGGTTCGATTTGGTTTGAAAATAGTTCGGTTCGGTTCAAAATGGTTCGGTTCTTAATCTGGTTCTAAAAACCAGTTCGGATTTTAAATTGGTTCTAAAAACTGGTTCGGTTCATGAACTGGTTCTTTAAAAATCGGTTCGGTTCATGAACTGATTTTTAAAATTGGTTATTTTAAGGGACGATTCGGTTTATGGTTCGGTTCAGTTTTTTGATTATTTTACACACCCCTAACTGTACCTCAAATAAAGTTATACGATAAGAAGGTAAAGGTTTATAAAATTAAGTTGATAATTTTGTTTTTGTGTTTTTTTCTTCCCTACTTATTCATGTCATATAATTTAATTTAAAATCAAACAGTTGGATTGAATGTAGAGTTAAGAATTTGAAATCCCTTTGCATGGACTATCATCTTGTGTAGTCGAACCACTCCAATGATATCAACTTATGGCTCTATCGCAATATCATGTCTTCCGTCCATTTGGACAGCGAATTCGGTAACAAAAGCAAAAGCATGTAATTCGAATATTTGATGACTAACGTGCTAAATAACGACTCTCACGTCAAAATGGACACTTTTGGCTTTTCTAATAAAGAAAGAAACTATTATATAAAGTTGGAGGGACTTCAATTTTATAAAAACATTTGGTAGTATGTGAATATTTTAATTTTCCAAATTGTTGAAAATAATATTGCTCTTTTATGAATAATAGTTTGAGAAGAAGATATATTGTTTCGTTTTAAGATCAACGTAGCAAATGTATGGATAAGTTCTTACAGTGATATTTACTGTAGAGATTTAAACTAAAAGAAAATATTGGTATGTTGAATATATTTCCAATCGTGCCTCAGAGAAATTTAACTATTTGCCTTATTTGCAACACAATTTCAGCGAGTACATGCGTTTTATAATCTAAATCTAATAAATCTTACACCTTACGGAAAAATACTTGTACATATATCATTTTTCACGGACTACAACGAATTGATAATTTATAGAGCATATATATTTATAGACATTTACATGCATATTATCTCACATTTATACAGTTTTTATAATATAATAGTAACTTACTTTATCTCTATTTTATACACATTTTTATTCTGTCATATATATTTACATGTGAGGTGATGTGTTTCTTCAAATATGAAAAGGTATTTTTCTAGTTTAAAAATAATGTCTTCATTTTCACTAAAAACACAAAATAAATAGGAAAATATGTTTACATTTAACTAAAATAATAATACATACATCAATAACTTTTTATTAACTTAATTTACATAATTTTTTATGGGAAAAATGTTTCTGCAGTTAATGCAGATAAGTTATTTGCATTTAGTCTCAAAACGACGTCGTTTTAGTATTGAAATCTTAAAAAATTATTAATATAAAGACTATTATAATCTGAAATAAATTAAAATTACAAAAACATCATAATTTCTGTCCAAATCTGTCCAAAACAACATCATATTGGACTTACTACAGATAACTTATCTGCAGTAACTCAGAAAAGTGATTATAGAGTAAACTTATAATGGGAGAGTTGTAGGATTACAGGTGGGCTTAATAATCAACCAGACTTCTTTATAAATCTCAGTTATTTGTTGATTAAACTACACTAACTGTTTTCACCAACAAAAAAAAAAAACTACACTAAGGAAGTTTGGGTATAGAGAGAAAGAATAAAGGGAATAATAGACAGAATAATATTATATATTGATTTGAGTTTTTAGATTTAAGTACTTTACTACACAAATATTAAATTTTGTACTTAACTAGTTCAGTTAACAAAGTAATTAAGTTTATGCTTGGTTTCTTCAAAATTGTCTTGTAAATAAATTAAATAACGAAGATTTTTATTATAAAAAAAAGTAACGAAGATTTTTTCTTAAACGTAAAGTGCACTTAGAAAGCAAAAAAAAAAAAAAAAACTGTGCAATTTTTTTATTTTATTTGTAAGATAAACCAAAATGAAAAGTATTTCGAAAAAAATAAAAGAAATAAAAAAACAAGAAAATATTTTATCAAACTAAAGACATCTTAATAAGTAGGAACGAAATATTGTCTCCTTTTATGTAAGAAAAGTGAAACTAAAATATAGAGTATGTGCTTAATTGTACCATCATAACAATGACTACCCTGATCTGTAGTGGCAGAGGGTCATTGCATAAAGTTTATGCATTATATTGTTTGATGTGATGTATAAAGTTTGATACTATAAATTTATATTATATGTTATGACATTTTCAGTTATTTGGTGTGATTATCGTATAATATAAGCTTATATAACAGAACCCCTTAATACATCAAAATGACGTATAACTTAATCAGGCCTAAGGGAGTAAGATTAAGCCTGATAAGGAATTGATATATTAATATTGCTTACCAGTACAATTTTCAAGAACTAATATATCATTTCAATATTAATATATTAAAATAATTATAATTTTTAAAATATTAGAGAATATTATCTTATACAATATCATATCAAATGCTGAATAGTATTAAAATTTAACGAGGTCTTACACTATCAAGTTTTATCCAATACTATATACCAAACATGTCCGAAGGTAAGAAAATTTTCTTTCTTCAAACCCAGACGAGAAAGATCTCATGACAGCTTTTCTAAGAACAAAGTAGGATTACAGCTGCACATAAATTTAAGTTTGGAGAAATCTTTCCGGTTCTAATTTAATCTATTTTTATTTTTTATTTTTTTGATACATAGGTTCTAATTTAATTTTAATTTCATAAAATTCAGGAAAAGTATGTGGAAATTGACATTCAGCTCGCACTTATTTCATTTATAACCTGTTATACATAATCTCTCTCAATGGCAAGCTACCTAAAAGAAAAGCTGTAAACCAATACACAGACAGAAACACAAGTAGATTTCAGCAACAAAACCATGTATTTCTGAACGGCATACACAAGTTGTAGACTTTGAAAGTTGAAACTGAACCTCATAGAGATGAATTCATACTGTATATGATGGCCGGTTCTGGACTTTTCGACACTCTTGATTCTAAAGATATTTCTTCATTTGTGTTAGTTGCTTGATGTAGCTTTTAGTTTCTACAAGTAAATTTCAGAAGACTCTAGATGTCTCACTTCCACCATAGCTTTTACTTTTTGGATGTAGCTTTTAGAGGGTTCTAGAAAACATACAGCATTCTTTACAAGATGGAAGCATTTTAATTAGATCAGTGTATTCATGAGGTTTAAACCATACTCTAAAAGGAAAGCTATATAAATGCTTGTTCAATTGGATTTTCAAGCCAAGAGAATTGTTTCAAGTCTGCTCAAATTGTTATAGAATAAGACATTTGAATTGGAAGATATCCAATTTCACTAATGTCAGAATCCGTGTAATCACAATGGAACAATATTATATTATAGTAAATCTTCACAGGAGAATAAACAGTAGAACTCACAGTATGTTATAAACAAATGCAGAAAATTGCAGAAATCTGAATTCAACAAATGTTGTCTCCTTAAGACTATTTGTTCTCTCGATTGATACCGAAGAGTGTTGAACAAAAGTCTCCCAGGATAGAACAAATTGCATCTTAAGAATGATGACACTATCAATCAGGAATCTCCACGAACACAACCAAATATTTTGAGAAATCGCACTTATGAGCAGAATGTACTAACTACGAATGCATGACAGAAATCTAAACAAATTCGAGAATTTTATTCTGAAGGATTCGAGATGTATATATAGACATTGATCGAACACGATGAACTGTCACCGACGAACCAGTTATAATGACTGAACGCACCAATTCAAAATTGGAAAGGAGCAACGGATAGGACAATGACATTTTGGACAAAAAATAATAAAAGTAATATTTTTTGCAAACGCATCCTCTTTTCTACACAAAAGTGAAATGCTCCTAAGGGGCAAACTAGAGAGGTGATGTGAAGGTTTATAAATCCTTCCACTTATCTTTACTTGTCCAATGTGAAACTTCTACCCACACACCATTTTCACATTTCCTCTTTCTTTTCTTTTCCAACTCACTTCTTATACATAACCCATGGGATTTTAGACAAAAAAAATTCAACACAAATTACCACATGAAAATTGGATTCTCATATGATATCATTCTGTTTGATCTCTGGCTAGGGCATATATAATATGCTCTCTCACAAGTTTTCTCTCTTTTTTGTCAATCTTATATATATATTCTTCCATTTTGGGAGGGGGAATTTGAGCAGAAAGGTTAACCATGTTAATTGAACAAATGTCCACACAATCAAAAACTATCGGCTGAGAAACAAGTGAGGGTTCCATCATTACTTTTTCATGTATAAAAATCCAAGGAGAGTACCGCTTTTCATAAAGCATAGCAAACAAGTTGCTTTAAGAATTAGCTTGTGATCAGTGGTGTCTTTTTCAGGAGTATAATACACTTAGAATGGGGAAGGGAAATGGGGTAAAAGAAGCATCTCTCAAAAGTCCTGCCTATAACTTTCTGCAGATGAATTCTGGAGAATCACTAAAAAGGAAGCCAAAATATCAGTGCCTCTTAGCCTCCTGGGCACGTCATATATATATATGACAAAATAATTTCTGCAGCGAAGCCAGGATCCGCGTCCGGAGCCTGTTTTTTTTTTTAAAAGTTGTGGGATC